GCGAATCTCCAAGATTCAAATAAAAGTCTTTAAATGTTGAATACGAGTTTGGCAACTCACAAATGCAAATTTTGAGCTCAAATTGTGAATCTTTGAGTTCCCATTACAAAACTTCATTAGATTTGATTTATGACTTCTCCGAACATGATTGTCAATGAGCTATTTATTTTTCAAAGTTTTGTTGCCTCTATTTAGAAGAGCCATTTATTTTTCAAAGTTCTGTTACCTCTATTCAGAGGAGTCATTTATTTTTAAAAGTTATGTTGCCTCTATTCAGAGGAGCTATTTATTTTCTAAAGTTCTGTTGCCTCTATTCTGAATAGCCATTTATTTTTTCAAAGTAGTGTTGCCTTTATTCAAAAGGGCCATTTATGTTTCCAAAGTTTTGTTGCCTCTATTCAGATAAGGTATTTATTTTTCCAAAGTTTGTTTCGCTTCTGTTTAGAGGAGCTTTATTTACTCAAAAAAAAAAAGGAAAAAAAAGTGTTGAGTTGAGTCTTGGATGGGTGTCTACGTCTTTGCACAATTCATGTTTCACAGAAAATGTGCAAAGAGGGGCAGCTGTAAACACCCTAATTTATCCAGGCCTAGGCCCATTAGGCTCAATAAGGGCTGGCCTAAACCCATTGGGCTTAGCTCAAATTTAATCCAAATGGGGCAGAATGGCCCAATTTTAGTTTTAATTTTATTTATTTATTTTTTATTATTATTATTATTATTTATTTTATTTTTAGTTTTTTATTATTTTTTATTGTCTTATTTTCGTTTTTATTTTTACTTTTATTTTTTGGTTTCTTGGTTGAAAATTGAGTTTTAATTTTATATATGATTTTTTTTTTTTCGTTTTCTTCTAAAATATAGGGTGGTAGGGTTGGACTAGGATTCATAATCTTGAATCTAAGTCAAATGAGGAATTGGCATTGATCAAAAATTTTTCTAATCAATGCCTATAAATATAGTCGAGCTGTCTTGAGCCGCTCCAACCGAGCCATTTTTGGTATTTTTTATTTTATTTTATTTATTTATTTGTGTTTTTTTAGTTTTTTTTTGCATGATTAAATTTATGGAAAAAATAAATAAATATAATAAAAACAAAATTTGGGAATAAATATTATTTATCTAATGATGGAATTTATAAAAATTTCAAATGATAAATTTTTATAAAATTTTCAAGTGAGAAATTTTGTCTAAATTTGGCCCAAATAGTGAAATAATTTATATAAAGTTTCAATAACAATAATTAATATTTATTTTCAAACAAAAAATATAAAAATTGTGGGAATTAAATACAAATTATCCAATGATGAGATTCTTAAAAATTCTAAATGGTAAATTCTTAAAAATCTCTAAGTGAGAAATTTTCTCTAAATTTATTCCAAATTATGGAATAATTTAGATGAAAGTTTCAATAAAAGTAATTGTATTCTTTTTCCAAACAAAAAATTTTGGTTGAAAATATATGATAATTATCCAAGGATGAGATTCTTAGAAATTTCAAATAGTAAAATTCCTAATAAATCCCTATGTGAGAAATTTTCTCTAAATTTGACCCAAATTGTGGAATAATTTAGATAAAATTTCAATAAAAATAATTATCATATTATTTTCTTTCCAAGAAAAAAAAAAATTTTAAATAGGCCCAAATGGTGAAAATTTTAGAAATTCAAAAGAGAAAATATTTCTAATTTGGCCCAAATTGTAGAATAATTAAATTTATTTTCAACAAAAAAATGATAATAATAAAAAATAATAAATAAACCTTTTTTTGATGACGGAGCCTCTTCAAGAAATCAAATAGGATTCTTGAATACTCTTGAGGTGAGAAAGTATTTTTTAAGAGTTCTACCATATTGATGAAGAATCTTAAAATTATTTTCAATATTTAACTTAAAATTTGAAACCATTAGACTCAATACCATAGGATAAATTCAAAATAATATGGTACCATCCTTCGGATGGGCATGTGAGGGTGCTATAACATTTTTCATATGTAATCGACTCCTGAACCTTGTTCTGGTTAGTAGATCCGAACTTATTCTTTTAAGGATCCTTAGTCAAGCTTAAGAGCTCCTTAAGATGATAGATTCCTTAGGTGACCAATCACACCTAGTAAAAAAGATTGGTAACGACTCTATTTATTTGTTAAATCTAGCTATAGATTTTTGGATCTATATGTTATAACATATGATAGTAATTTTAAAAAGTTGGTTGATGCATGTCTATAATCACTTGTTACTTTAATATATATGGAAATTTTAGACTTAATAATTTTTTAAATATGATACAATATGAAAAATATATTAAAAAAGATACGAAAATAATACGATTTAAAATTTTAATAAAAATTATAGATGAATTTGATAAAAACAAAAAATATATATTATATATAATGTATCAACACAAATTTAATATAATAATTTTTTATATTTTATTTATATTTAACACGATACAAATACAATATAAATCTATTAATTATAATATCTAAAATCTAATTACTTCGAGTTCTTCTTTCAAATGACGTGGTAAATTCTGATAGGAACTAACAAACTTCTCACTTTGAAAATCAACCGAAAGGGGTGGTGTCCCTTGCTTGACTAAGCTGTCCCAATGGGAAAATAGAAAGTGAGGCCCAATACTGGTTTTACGAACGGGCCTATATATCTCAATCCCAGCATAAGTGGACACCTACTCAAACATCCCGACCAGTTCCTCCCTTTTGAATGATAAATAATACTAATAATAATAATAATAATGAATGATTGCTTGATTTTCCAAGAATGTAACAACATTGAACAGCAACATACATGGCAATGGAAAAGGGATTTTGGAAAGAACCTGTTGTTGTCAAAATCACAAGAAGTGAAAGTTGAGTGGCATTGGCATCCATTGTCGGACAAACAGTAACAAACAATTTCTCAACAGAAGAGTGAAAGGGATTTTTTTTTTTGGGGGGTGGTTGTTGCTGGTTTTGTGTGGCTTATAATTCAGGAAAGAAAATGGAGCGGACAACAAGATGTGAACTCTCTCATTGTAGTTGACTTACAATTTCTTGTTATTTTTTTTTCTCTCAGAAGAAAATTTTGATGTTGAACAGAAATTGTGGTAATCAAACATACTATTTTGTTGCTTGCAATCGCCACTTAAAATTGGGGACCTACATGTCCTGTTGAAAATGTTGGTCCCAACTGTTTTCATTATGATTCCAACTGCCACCAGCCATTAGGTAAATTTTAAGATCACTTTTTTATTGGCGAAATTTAGGATTTAGTGATGAACAAGAATCATTTCATCATTTTTTTTTATTTTTTTTATTTTTTGTTCTGAAGACAAAACTTTGTATTGATAAAAGCTATAGATGCCAAATTGGAAATAATGCTTACTTTTTTTTTTTTTCTTTTGGGTCAAAAGGGCCCAGTTCTGTTGTCCAAAACCCAGCCTGGGAAGTTTTGAGAGGCAACCATTTTGGACGAAAGAATGGGAAGTCCAATCCATAGACAAGCCTAGTTCCTTGGGGTTACAAGTACCGTGGGCAGGATAACAAATTTAGGCTAGACCATATGTTTGGTTGAAGCACAAGAAAATGAAATTTATGTATATGTATTTGGTTTATGAAAATAAAGTTGTTTTTTATTTTTATTTTTACAGAAAATAGAAAATGAATTAGAAAATTTGTTTCGCTGAAAAAATATAAAATATTTTTAAAAAAAAAAAAAAAAAGTTAAAATCAGAAAACAAACAAAATTGTTTTGATTATTTTCAATGAAAATGGAATGGGAAAAATGAAAAATATTGAAAACACGAAGCTTTTAAAAATTTTGATTTATCTTGACACAAATACCTAGGGAGCAAGTTCGAATCATGAGATCTCCAAATTAATATCTCTACAACCATAAAACCCAAGGATGCTTGCAAAGTAGCATGAAAGCATCCAAATTCCCCAGGTTGAATCAAGAGTTCTTAGTGCCTCACCGCTGATATAGCTTGGAGTCCCCATTGGCTTCGAAGTTCCCACCATGAAAGCATAAAAAAAAAAGTAGTTTTTTTTGTGAGTTCACTTTTATTTTTTATATAAAAGTTGAGTTTGACTAAAAAGTTAGATGATATTTTATCATTATATTATAAAATTTATGGTTATGGAATAATTAATAAATATTTTATTTGAATTTTTATGTTTATTTTAATTGCAATTTATTTTTATTATTTAATTATATATTTTTTTAAAATATGCAATTTACTTAATTATTTAATTATTATTTTTATATTTTAATTTTAAAAATGCACATACCAATCACATTTTCACAATTTTCATTTTTAAAAACAAATTTTCATTTTATGTAAAAAACATGTTTTCTAATTTTCAGAAAATAAAAACCATAATAAAAGCATTAATAAAGAAAGAAAATGAACATCAAAGAAAACAACGAGCAGAAGTTCTTGAACTCGATAATGGAAACGTTTAACTTGATCATTCTCATGAAAAGAGCAAGTCAATGGCAATTCAAACAAGTGGCAGAGATTCGTATGATCTTGCACCCAAAGCATAGTGTTAGTTCTAGTAGAAGTGGATAACATATTTCTCGGTTTATCGAACTTTCTTCACTCTACATGGATGCCTCGTAGCCATGATCAAGCCATGATTGCAGATTGCAGGATTCAGTATTCACATTTTTTAAACATTTCGCTTGCCCTGGATGGCTTATTGTCAGGAAGATCTATCAGAAACCATCCCTACGTTTGATTCTGCGATCAGAATGGGAATAGGGAAGAATTTTTTGGAGGTGATCGGATATTATTCACTGAATTATTGCGCGAATAGCTTTTTCCAATAGATTTTATGAATGGATAGTATTAGTAATATCACCTGCATTGACACAAATTTCTTGAACTTCCATGAAGTTCAAGACATCAGGATGAGGCATACCATATGCTTTGCAGAAACATATAAAAAATGAAAGGTGCATCCAGTCTTATAATGCAAATCCCATTTTGACATCAGCACGAGAAAAAAAATAAAATCATATTGTACTACAATGTATTCATTTCGAAACTAAAATTACAATCATGCAATCACTTCATCAGAACGGAAGCAGTTAGACTAACGAGGGGTTTTCTTCTTTCCAGCAATAGTAACCTTCTTACCCTTCAAAGTCCGACAGTTGTTTTTTGTGCGCTGTCCTCTACAAGGCAAGCCCTGGATATGGCGAATCCCTCTATAGCACTGAATCTCCTTCAATCGCCTTATATTAAGAGCATTGAACCGCCTCTGCAATAACAGTAAAAAAAGAAAAAACAAATTGAAATTGCTTAGAGAAGGGAGAATGTTCACATTCACAGCTCATAAAAATAGGACAAGAAGGGGAATGGCAATTACCAAGTCGCCTTCAATCATATACTTGGAGACTTCATCACGAATCGTAATGAGTTCTTCGTCAGACAAATCTTTGGTGATTTTGTTCTCCATTTGGAGATCCCAGATAATTTTACGAGCCCTGGAACGACCAATCCCATGGATGTACTGAAGAGAGAATTCCACTCTCTTGTTGTTCGGAATTTCCACTCCTCCAACACGAACGTTTTTAATGATTAGACGACGATACTAAATGATTTCGAAACAGAAAACAAAACACAACAAAACCCAAAAATAAGAAACATACGCCAAGAATTTTGCTTCCCAACTCATTAAATTACGGCTGAACAATGAAAAAGGACAAGCATTTGAATTCTACATTTGGAATATGATTAAAATTTTTCCCTTTTTCTGAATCTTCATTTTCCAAATATATGGAACCTTGCTTTGCCTAAACCCCATACCAAAATGAAAAAATTGCACAGAAATAATGAGATTTCAGTTAATAATTGCTTCTTCTTTATTTTTTTTTTTTAATTCAAGAAAACCCAAACAGAGGGTTAAGCAATTTAATGAAATAAAATTGGAAAAAAAAAAAAACAAACCAGAAATGAACGGAAAACAGAAGGAAGTTACCTTTGGAGGATTTGAAACTGGGAGGGAAGCAGTGTTAGAGAGAGAAATGGAGCTAATTTTGTTGCATACAAAGGAGAGAGAGGATGCCACGGGCATCGCCATGGTTTGCGCCATTTTCCTTTCAATTTTCTCGATATCCAAACAGAGTGAAAGGAAGAGCTCGAGAGGTTGGAAGTAACTTTTTCCTCTCCTCTCCTGCCCTAAATAGAGTCCTTAAAGGTACTCGCTCGAGTAAAAAATGAAAATAAACTCGCTACCTTGTTGTTGGCTTGGGCCTAAAATGAGGTGTAGCCCAAAAGAAAGCCTAGAAAGGGTGACATCAGCCCAATATACATTTAACTTTAGGAATCGGTTACTTTCCCTGCATTTGAAATGGCCCAAGAACAATCCAGGTTGGTGCAAAATCAAATACTAAGGGCTGCTGGAACGAACAGAAAAGCAAAAGGAGCTGGGGGAGTTTTAAGGGGTTAACATGGCAACTGGATAGCAGGTTTCTCTTGCTTTCATGGTAATTGTAGTATTGACGCTGCTGAACTTTGGGCCTTATTTCAAGGTGTTACTCTTGCCAAAAAAAAAAACTAAGGAATTATTAAGGTTGAAATTGAAGCCGATTCTCTCATTGCTATCAGATTCATTAAAGGGTTCATTATCATCTTTTTGCAGCCATTCAAGTGGTGCTCACTGGTAGTTGGTAAAGGACCATTCACCATGTTTTTAGAGAAGAATTTTGTTGCGGATTGGATGGCCTAATAGGCTAATACCTTTGATCAAAAGTTTGACTGGAATTGGATGTGTATGAAGTTACTGGAGAGTGGAAAGCAGTTAACGGTTGGCCATTAGTCCCACAACCTTTCACAATTTATAGAACCACAAATCCCACGACGACAAATCACTTATTAATAGTATATTTAGGTTTGAAATTAGCCAGGTCTCTCTCGTTGTTAAAGCAAAGTAATGGCAATTGACACGCGAGCTAGCTGGCTAGGAGGTTCACACCGCAAATTACCGTACATAAATTTCAGTTTTTTTTTTTTTTTTTAGTTGGACACCGCAAGTTTTTGTTTGTTTTCTGCTTGATATAAATCGGTTTTGTAATTTCTTTTAAAACCTTAACCTTATAGAGTTATACTTCGAAGCCTCAGCCTTCAAATATCAACTTCGATTCAAAAATAAGTAGGCATCAGTTTTGTAGTTCTTGTTTTCATTTTTTACTGAACAGCAACCTTTGTACACATAGCCTGTTAAATCACACCAAAGCAATTTATGGTTTGAATTTAGTGAAAATTTATCTAAAAGCGTATAATTTAAATTTGTTTGCGGTCCTCTAAGTAAAACGAAGCTTTCAACTTTGGGTTAAAAAGTCCTTTAATCAGAGAATGAAAGTAGAGAATGGCGGAAAATTGCAGATTTATATATTTAAAGAAGAATTAAGCTGTGTTCAGTACGTAATCGGTTGATAGTGTCATAACGTCTAGATCCGGAGATCTATCGCTAGACATTGACTTTAGGGAGTCGCCACCAATCTTTTTTATCTAGGTGCGATTGGTCACCTAAAGAATCTGTCCTTTCAGGGAACACCTAAGTTTAAGGGTCCCCAAAAGAATAGGTTCAGGTCTGCTAACCAGAACAGGGTTCGGGAGTTCGGTTACGTGTGAGGAAGGTTATAGCACCCTCACAACGCCCATCAAAAGATGGTACCAGCTTAAATTTGTGTTATCCAAAAGCCTTAAAATTTTACCAAGTAATTAATTATTGAAAACTTTTCTCAATTGACTCTAATACTTTTAGCAGAAAATTGAGAAAATTCTCTCACCTCAAGAGTATGCAAGAAAAACTACTGTTTCACTTACAGAGGCTCCGTCGTCGGATTATTTAAAGAAAAAAACAAAATCAAAATTAAGATAGAAAGGAAGGAAAGAATGACTTTTTTTTTTAGGGAAAATTGATACTTTCAACTTTTCCCCAAAAATATTTTTTGGAAATTTCGATTTTCAAGGAAAATTGATACTTTCAACTTTTCCCCAAAAATATTTTTTTTTGGAAATTTATTTTTCTTTTAAGGAAAATTGATACTTTCAACTTTTCCATAAAAATATTTTTTTGGAAATTTATTCTTAAGGAAAATTGATACTTTCAACTTTTCCCTAAAAATATTTTTTTTGGAAATTTATTTCTAAGGAAAATTGATACTTTCAACTTTTCCCTAAAAATATTTTTTAGAAATTTATTCTTAAGGAAAATTGATACTTTCAACTTTTTCCTAAAAATATTTTTTTTTGAAATTTATTTCTGAGGAAAATTGATACTTTCAACTTTTCCCCAAAAATATTTTTTGGAAATTTATTTCTAAGGAAAATTGATACTTTCAACTTTTCACTAAAAATATATTTTTTTAGAATTTTTTTATTTTTACTTAAAGAAAATAAAATAATAAAAAATAGATAAAAAGAATATTACATAAACCTAATCTAATAAATAAAAAATAAAAAATAAAATAAACAAATAAACAAATAAACAAAGAAATAAAAAAAAAAAAAAACCCGGAGCGGCTCGGATCGCGGCTCGGCTATGCTCGGCTCAAGGAAGAGAAAACGGCTCGGGGGAGCGGCTTGGCGGCTTGGCTCGGCTCGGCTCGGCTCGGAGTGGGCTGGCACGCGCGGGTCAGAAAGCGGGTCGACGCCCGGGTCGAGTCGGGTTCGGCAAAACGCGTGGATCCTCTGGGTTACTTAAGGCCAAAACGACGTCGTTTTGGGAGGGTATAAAAGGCACCTTCCTCCGTTTTTCAGCAGAACGCTCCTCCCCCTCTCTCTCTCTTCTTCCTTTTTCTCTCCCTTCTCTCTAGAAACTGAAGAACACCGGTGCCAGATTCTGGAAATTTTCGCCGGAATCTGGAAATTTCGCCGGAAGTTGGCCGGAAGATCGCCGGTTTCTGGGATTCTTCGTCGAAAACTGGGTAGGTCGCCGGAAACTTCAAAGTTGGCCGGAATTGTAGCCGGAAAATTCAAGTTTCGCGGGAATTTTGCTGGAATCTGGAAATTTGCCAGAAATTTCCAGAAAAATTTTTCGCCAAAATTTCTAGAAAAAATTCTCCTCACTCTCAGAACACTCCTAAACCTTCCCTAGCTTCCTATACGCCTTTGGACAGGAATTCAGTCTTTGAATCCAACTGGACTCTTCTGATTGAATTCCCCTCCAGAGTGGGATTCTTCAACTTTGAATCTTAGCAATCCAGAATTAAAATCAAAATAAATAAAAAAAATACTAGATAATCAAAAGATATGATAGTATAAAAATAAAAAAATAAATATATATATAATATCAGATAATTCAGAAAAAAAATCAGATAAAATTAACAGATAATAAAAAAAAATAACATAAGATAAACCCAAAAATATATTACAAAAAAAAAATAATAATAATAATAAAATACATAAAATACAAAAGAAGAAAAAGAAAAGAAAAAAAAATACAGGATTAAAATGGGCCTTACCCATTTGGGCCAGGCCCAATTGATCTGGGCCCGGACCCAATTGGGTGTCTACAGCTGCCCCTCTTTGCACATTTTCTGTGAAACAGAAATTGCGCAAAGACGTAGACACCCAATCAATACTCAACTCAACATTTTTTGGTTTTTTTTGTTTTTTTTTTGTTTTTTTTTGTTTTTTTTGTTTTTTTTGTTTTTGTTTTTTTTGTTTTTTTGTTTTTTTTTGTTTTTTTTTGTTTTTTTTTTTTTTTTACCAAAGCTCCTCTAAACAGAGGCACCACGATTTTTGGAAAGTAAATTGCTCCTCTAAACAGAGGCAACGAACTTGGAAAAGTAAATTGCTCCTCTAAACAGAGGCAACGAACTTTGAAAAGTAAATTGCTCCTCTAAACAGAGGTACCACGACTTTGGAAAAGTAAATTGCTCCTCTAAACAGAGGTACCACGACTTTGGAAAAGTAAATTGCTCCTCTAAACAGAGGCACCACGACTTTGGAAAAGTAAATTGCTCCTCTAAACAGAGGCAACGAACTTTGAAAAGTAAATTGCTCCTCTAAACAGAGGCAACGAACTTTGAAAAGTAAATTGCTCCTCTAAACAGAGGCACCACGACTTTTGGAAAGTAAATTGCTCCTCTAAACAGAGGCAACGAACTTTGAAAAGTAAATTGCTCCTCTAAACAGAGGTACCATGACTTTGGAAAAGTAAATTGCTCCTCTAAACAGAGGCAACGAACTTTTGGAAAAGTAAATTGCTCCTCTAAACAGAGGCAACGAACTTTGAAAAGTAAATTGCTCCTTGACAATCATGTCCAAAGGAGTTGAAAGTTGTGTTTGAAGGGATTTCAGGAGATTATGCCCAAAGGTCTTATAAATCAACCCTGATACCAAGAGACATCCTATTTCAAGGATTAGGAACTTACCTGACAAGTTTCTTCTCAAACTTGCAAAGTCTTTTCATATCTGTCTTTTTTATGTGGGATGTTGGAACACCCCTGCTTCTTGAATTTGTACACTATACTTTTCTGAAAGTAGTGTATGCTATGCAAATGCATATGGATTTCAATGCATGCTATGCAAATGTTGGTCAATCAATTCCTGTTCAATGTATGGTACTCAAGTTTCTCAAGCTCTTTTCTTTCTTGGGTGTCAAGCCCTTTGATTCCTCAAGGATCCATTTACACTGCTCTTCTAGGATCGAACCAGTGTAACTCTTAATTGTCTCTTCCGCTCAGATTCTTCCTTGTTCTGTTTTTCAATACTTTGGAATAAGCTTCATCAATCGATCATCCCTTGACCATCATTCAATGAATTTCTCAGCGCTAGCAAATTTCATAACAAATTTCAAAACAAATTTCATCCACCATCACTGGGTCCTTGCTCATGGGTGTCTCAGCATTAACTTTTCCAAAACAGATTTTGTCTTCATCATTTAATCACAACTTGCAAGTCATATTGACCAATTCATCCTCGTACTCATCACTTGATTGTATCACTGCCCCATTTCTTCATTTGATCACATCATATATCCTTCTAAATCATCTCCTCTAGGTTTCTACCATTTCTTCATTTTATCTCCACCATCATCTTAGATTTCTTTTCAAATGAATGCAAGACTCTTTTAAGCACATATTCATTCATTTATTATCATTTTAATTTTTGACAAATACAATGCAACCAAGCATTTTCTCAATTCATCCTAGGGGTGAAACAATAAGAGAACAG